GCAGTGGTAAAACACTTTATCTATTGTATATCAAATATTTCCAACTAGACTGAATATCTGTCAAGTAATATTTAAGCATGGGCAAGTGATTCCTGTCAAGCGTCTGACTGGTGTTCTTGGCTCAGTAACATTTTTGAAGCCAAACCACTGAACGGCTTGAAAACTTCAATCAACATGTTACATGATTCAGTAAAAGTGAACATCTAATTAAATATTTCTACATTGCAAATGGACTTTTAATGACTCAAAGGCCTTTTAACCACTTTAGTTTGATCAACAACTTTTTGAGATGGTTGCTTCTCCCCTGAAGTTCTTTGATTATAAAGCTTATCTAGAACAAAGCTTGAAATGAATTAATTGGGGCATTGGGGGAGAAGGCGTGGTGGTTATTAATAAGGACGCATTCCAAACCTGTGTTCTCCCTCTTTCCTTGTGTCTCTGTAGAATCACAATCCCAGTGCAGACTTTCGCCAACCTTCAGATCCGAGGTAAGGAACTCATTCTGTCACGTCTGCTATGACCATGTTGCCACACATCCAAGGAGCAGCGCTATTTTATAAACAAGCACATGCTTTGCTCCCCATCCCCTGAGCAGTGAGAAACTGAGAAATGGTCTTTGAGTGCAGAAGAGGTCATGGTGGCAAAGTGCTTGTGCTTGTGTAGACTTCTGTGTGTCATGTGGATATCTAATATTAGAAGCAGGTAACCAGCCACTAACAGAACAAACATTTACAATGGCATCTATATATTTTTTTATTTCACAGACAAAGACCTTTTTCAACCTGCCAGCAGATTCCTATTTAGAGAGGGTCTGAACAGCAATTCCAGCAGTGGGCAGGGCTAAGGGCACAGAGCACGAGCAAAGCAAAACAAATAGAGTCAGATGTAAATCTTTCTTATTTGCTACCAGGTACTGGCTTTCATGTTTGAAAAATCTTTCCAGTTTTCAAATGGGAGCTCTTTTCCCAAGCAAGACCTTCGTGGTGTTGAAACAAGAGCTCCCCAAAAAGCCATACTGGCAGCGGCAAGACTGAAATTAGGATACATACTCCACTGGGATGACCTGACCTCTCCCATTACCATCGTCTCCTGCCTGCTGTGTCATCAGTGGTCCTGCTTGCTTCCTCCTTGCCCCTTCATTTGCTCTTAAAAGATGTGACATCACCATTCTGTGTCAGCCAAGACGGCCAATAACACTAGTCGGCACATTGACTTCCCAATGTATTTGTTTAACATCTGTCTCTCTCTGAGTTGGATACTGTTTAATCACATCCAACTTCTGTTGACCCTAATAGGATTTTCAAGGTACCTGAGATACTTAAGGAGTGGTCTTTAGCATTGCCACCTCCAGTGAGTTTCTATGGCCAAACAGAGATTTGAACTCATCTCCTCAGTCCTCACTTGACACTCAATGCACTACACCATACTGGCTGTCAAAATCACTGTACCCCCCTTCTTGTTGGCAGTTCTCATGTGTAGCTGTGTGATTTTAGATCCTAGCTGTAATGGTCTTCTGAAGGTGGGTAGTTCTCATGTGTAGCTGTGTGATTTTAGACCCTCGCTGTAATGGTCTTCTGAAGGTCGGTTGCTCTTTAGATGATCATGCGTATCCCTTTACTAGAGATGTACAGATTTGAGGTTTTGGACCACAATTCTCAGTTGTGCTACCTGGGGAATTCTGGGAATTGTAATCCAAAAACACAAGTCTGCACATCTCTGTTTAAAATAAGAAAAAATATGCTAGAATCACCAGGGATTACCAGGAAGGAACAAAGGTATTATGGACTAATTCCTTGGAACCAAATCTTAGTCCCTCACCCCATTTATGTCATATTTGGGGATGGGGGGTTATATTATGGACTAATTCCTTGGAACCAAATCTTAGTCCCTCACCCCATTTATGTCATATTTGGGGCTGGGGGGGGGTTAGTGGTCCCTGATTTGTTGTCGAGAATCCTTATAAAACTATTATATTGCAGATATGGGATTGACAGAAAAGTGTCTTGCTTCATGCCAGGCCTGGTGCCAATGTTGAGTCACAGACTTCTAGCTTTATTAGTTATCTGTGGGTATTTATAAACACCTATGTCTGAAGATTCCAACATCTAAAAAAAAGCATAACCTATGACATAAAACAACATACAGACAGCATCCATACCACCCATAAGTGTAAAATACACAGTAGCCTGAACTATACTAGAAAAGCTGGCAAAAAGAGGTATGTCTTTAAAATGTGCCTAAAAATAAAAACACTTAAATCATATTTAATATTGTAAGAAAGAATATTCCAAATAGTGGGTGTGATCACACTAAGTATTTTGTTTTAAATAACTGTGAAACAGATAGCAGGAGCGTGTACTGCAGTCTATCACTCTCCCATGGTAGGATCCTGTGCACCCTAAGAGTAAGCCCCACTGAGCACTGTGTGAGTAAATTTGGGATAGGATTGCATTTATATCTGTTCTCTGAGTCATCTTTTATTAGACTTCATTTCATTATGTGCTTCCATTTTGCTTCTCTGTTTTAGATCTATAAATTTGTTCTTGTTGCTGCATGTGAAGCTGCTTAAAATGTTGCAAATACTTGCCCCACTACCTACTCCTTCAAGGAGACGCCCCCCCCCCTGAACATTTTCTGACTCAACTCGTTTCTCTGTGTCATAGACATTTGTTAAAATGCTACAGTTCACTAGATTGGCTAGAGAAATCATCCACAATGATTGGGTTGTTCCCATCACTGCCCAAAAAGAGGCAGGGAATCATATGATACAGATAAAATTCAATTCTTCAATAAACCTCTGGTTTATGAATGTGGGATATTGTGCTTCTGTACCCATGATTCAAAAAAAACAGGAAATGGTCCAATATTGCTGCACAATATTGTGTCCACATTGCCAGCAAGAAAAAAGGATGCCAAGTTTTACATAGCAAAGGGCAGCCTGAATGTTGACAACACCAATGGCAGCAGCCAAGATGGTATAGAGCAGCGATAGGGGACCTATGGCATGCATGCCACAGCTGGCAAGCAGAGCCCTCTCTGTGGGCACGCAAGCCATAAGTTGCTGGATCGCTATATCTGGCAGCCAAACCTGAGGAGGCGGCTGCAGCTGCAATGCTAGCGCCCCAACAGGTGGTGAGCCAGGATCCAGAGCAGCTGGTGCTGGCGATGGCGGGCTGGCTGGCTGAGCTATAGGCACTGGCGGGGTAGGGAACAACTGGAGGCTGGCTGAGCTATAGGCATTGGCGGGGTAGGGCACAACTGGAGGCGGGTCTGGAGTGGGGTCTGGAGGCACCTCTGTGCCCAGGATTTCTGCTTCCACTGCCACTGCCACTTCCACCAGCGCTGCTTCCTGCCTCCTGCTATTTTGTTTTGTTTTTCAGTTTGGGTATTTGGGCTCAAAAAGGTTCACCATCACTGGTCTAGGGCAGGGATCCCCAACACCTGGTCCACCACCTGGTGCCAGTCCGTGGGCTTCCTGGAACTGGGCCACGGACACAGATCTCCATGTCCCCCTGATGGGCATGCCACACTTATGGAGGGGCGTGTCATGCTTGCACTTCACCTCCATGCCCCCTTCCTGTTTGGCTCGCTCTTTCCACCAGCGCTGCTTCCTGCCTCCTGCTATTTTGTTTTGTTTTTCAGTTTGGGTATTTGGGCTCAAAAAGGTTCACCATCACTGGTCTAGGGCAGGGATCCCCACCGCCTGGTCCACCACCTGGTGCCAGTCCGTGGGCTTCCTGGAACTGGGCCACGGACACAGATCTCCATGTCCCCCTGATGGGCATGCCACACTTATGGAGGGGCGTGTCATGCTTGCACTTCACCTCCATGCCCCCTTCCTGTTTGGCTCGCTCTCTCGCTCATTGCCCCCCGGTCTGCCTTCCCTTACCTGCTCCCAGGGCAATCAGAAGGAAGCCGAGCGAGCCAACCAGTTCTGGGTGGCCACCTCAGGGAGAAGCCATGGGCTCTGCAGGCGGGTGACGGGGGGTGATGGCCACCTGTGAGTGAGAGCCTCTGACCCCCCCCTCGAGCTGCCCCCTCGGGCCACGAGAACTCTCCCGAACTCTCTCGCTCTGGCTCCCCAGCCCCAGGAAAGCGGGTGGCAGTGGTGATGGCACAGGTGTGGCTCGCTCATTGCCCCCCGGTCTGCCTTCCCTTACCTGCTCCCAGGGCAATCAGATGGAAGCCGAGTGAGCCAACCAGCTCTGGGTGGCCACCTCAGGGAGAAGCCATGGGCTCTGCAGGCGGGTGATGGGGGGGTGACGGCCCCCTGTGGGTGAGAGCCTCTGCCCCCCCCCCCTCGGGCCATGAGGACTCTCCCGAACTCTCTCGCTCTGGCTCCCCAGCCCCAGGAAAGCGGGTGGCAGTGGTGATGGCACAGGTGTGGCGACAATCGCCCCAGCACACAAAACGCATGGCCAGACGGGTGGATGGGTGCGGGACATGGGATGCGGCGCGAGGCAGACAGGGCTCGGACTCCGGGACGCCAGCCTAGAGCCTCTTCTGCTCGCTACCATTCACAAAGTGACACCATGCAATGGAAAATCCCACAAGCACCATTTTTTTCATCAGTTAACCATTTCTCACGCAAACACAAAGTAATTGTCAGGGCTCTTTTTCAACATGTGTGAATGGGAGTGAGCAGAAGAGGGTGTCCTGTGTAGACCAGCTTCTCATTGGTGATGTCAACATCTAGCACCCCTGTTGTGGTATGCCTTGCCTCTGCAGCATCCTGGATCTTGTGAAAAAGAAGAGTTTCTGTCCAGAGTACCCTGAATAGGCATCTATTTAAGGACTGTTAATAAGAGAGATGCCTGTTTGCAGTCAGGCTCATTGTCCTCCTGTTCTCTTATTTTAATTTATAAATTGTTGAGTTGAAGCAGCCACTCAGTGTTGTGATGGAGGGGGCAGCTGAGGTGGCTCACACCCTCACAGACAAGGCAGTTCATCAAATTCTGTTCTGTGACAAATGACCAGGCTGTGCTTTTCCTCCTCACCAGAAACCAGCCTGGACACAAAGTCTGTTTCTGAGGCCCACCTTAAGAGGAGCATTGTGGTCAAAACAGTGGAGACAAGAGATGGAGAGGTAGGCAAAAGCTACCCAGGGATCTGAAACTTCCTTTTTCTGATCACACAGCTGAAGGAGATCCATGAGAATATCTGGCACAACCTTTTGCTTTTAATTTTGGAAAACTCTATAGACATGCCTGTCACACCAACTGTTTGCCCCAGGAAAAATATCTCCCCATCTCCTTATTTATTTTATTTTTTGTTGCTTTTATCGTTAGGATGTTCTTCCTAATCTAGAAACTATTTCTTTGTTGTTCCCATTGGTTGTATATTAACTTGCCAAAATTGGGTGAATGGATAGATTTCCCTTCTTCTTCTTCTTCTTCTTCTTCTTCTTCTTCTTCTTCTTCTTCTTCTTCTTCTTCTTCTTCTTCTTCTTCTTCTTCTTCTTCTTCTTCTTCTTCTTCTTCTTCTTCTTCTTCTTCTTCTTCTTCAAATGGATATAATGTTGGGTTAGGGTATGTGGTCCACAAACTTTCCCCCCATGTTGTATTTCTAAACATTGGTCATTTTCACAAGCCTTCTATGTTTTTCATGGCCACAAACAGCAACTTTGCAGGACAGTCTATCAGGGTAGTTGACAGGTGAATTTTAAAAAAAAATCTCCCCCACTGTGTAATCTCTATGAAGATTTTATGTACTTCATCCCATGGCTGTGTTTAATAAGGAGGGGAGGGGATTCAGTTTTATAATGTCTCTTCCCGTGTCATGTCAGCTACAGTACATTTTTCCCTAGCTAGTGCTATATAAAAGCACTTGTTTGGGCAAAATTTGAGATATGTGTTGTCTTTGTTTTCACTACCATTGCTTAGATTAATTTATAATTCTCTTCTTTCTTATTCTGGAGAGTACCTGTCATGTCATGTTTAAATTTGTCCTTTGCATGGAGCTTAATTAGCTTGTCTACTAGCTTTGTTTTACAGCTTTTCTATGAAGAGAGTAAATCATATCTTCTAACTAAATTTGTACAAGCATTACAAAGAAAGTAATTGCTTAAATTTTAGTTATGTTTCAAGTCTCTAGCTCCTGTGTAAAGCTTGGAAAAGCTTGGACTCCAGCTGACTGGGAGATACAAGGAGCTGTAATCTGGGGGAAAAAACATGTTATGGTGTGCAGATTGTATTTGACTGTTTTTAAAACAATGAGAATCCTTGAATCATTCAGAAGGGAGCACTAAAATCATCAAAATGAATACAGTACAATCCATTAAATGACAGCCTAAAATTCAAGGTTAATTCTCAAAACAAGGCGAGTAATTTTCCCATCCTCACTCTTGTTGCAGGTGATCAAGGAGTCCACCCAGGAGCACAAAGAAGTGGCTTAAAGCAGGCGGCCATGAAGGAAAAGCCACATTAGTGGAGCAGAGGAGACACTTGTAGCTATAGGATGCTAGCAAAGCTTTATTTCCTCCTGATGCTGTCCTGGGCCAAAAAACAGTTCTGGTTATAATGCTGGAGAATTAGCAAAGGATGGGAAACATTTGCAAATCTAACTGTTTGCAACTAGAGAAAATAACCAGCTACCTATCAGAAGCACAGTAGCCTATTGCTTTAGCCTGTCATATGTGGGCTTGTCATCTATTCCATCTCTCACCCTATGTTCCTCAGTCACAGTATGTGCCCTTTACAGTGTCCAAGTAGACATGCTATCTAAACCAGGCTATAGTTTGTCTAAGCACATATTGGGCTTAATGCCAAAATCTCATGCTTTTAAAAAAATCTACTAGTAGGCTCAATTTTTTATTGCTGACAATGAAAATAAGTATTAAAGGGGTAGGGGAGAGAGAGAAAGCAAGCCAGATGCTTAGAAGGACTGTGTTCACAGGTGGACCTGTCTACTTTAAAGTTCCCTTTCTAAAGCAAGAAGACCTTTCGCTACTAGTTACTAGACAAGTAACTAGTCTAGATCAGATATAAAGTAATGTGGGAAGAGAATTAGTTACTCGAGACCACCCACTGTGACTTCTTTTATTATCTCTTTTTGTCTGGCAGGTCCTCCGTTGCTCTGAGAAAGATATGGCAGACAAAAATTTACCAGGTGAATTGTTCTAACATGAGGTGTTAGAGAAGATGGTCCCTGTAGAAATTTTAATCATATCCTAGTTGTAAAAGTCTGAAGAGGCCTGCTGGGAGCACTTCCCCTGGGGCTAATAACATCTGAAAGAGGAGATGGTAATCAGGATCACAGTAGCAAAGAGACAGGTGGACCCAATTCTGTTCCCTCCTCCTTAGTGGCAGCTATTTAAAATTTTAAAGCTGTGCTTATTAACATGACATTAATGTCACATATTGTTTGACAATCTCCCAATGTATGCAAAATTATACCTTGATATGGGTTCCAATGGCAGTTTGTTTTGTCGTCTTCCTCTGTAACAAGTGTGTTCCCTTCTCTTCTTGTAGTCACAGTCAATCTGTAGCAGAGATGGTGGTCATCTAGTTGTGCCTTGAGACCATCTTTTAGATGCGAGTATGTGTTAGCCTAGAAGGGATGTGGTGGTGCTGCGGGCTAAACCGCAGAAGCCTGTGCTGCAGGGTCAGAAGACCAAGCAGTCGTAAGTTCGAATCCACGCGACGGAGTGAGCGCCCGTCACTTGTCCCAGCTCCCGCCAACCTAGCGGTTCGAAGGCATGCAAATGCAAGTAGATAAATAGGGACCACCTCGGTGGGAAGGTAACAGCGTTCCGTGTCTAAGTCGCACTGGCCATGTGACCACGGAAGATTGTCTTCGGACAAAACGCTGGCTCTATGGCTTGGAAACAGGGATGAGCACCGCCCCCTAGAGTCGGACACAACTGGACAAAAATTGTCAAGGGGAACCTTTACCTTTACCTTTACCTATGTGTTAGCCTGACATTCTTCTTATATGGCCCAAGAAACTAAAAGTGGTACAGTCGTTCTTCCCACTGCTTTATCTTCACCACAACCCTGTGAGATAGGTACTTTGAGGGCCCAAGGTCACCCAATGAGTTTCATGGTTGCATGCACATTTAAACTAAGGTTTCCCCAGTCCTAGATGAGCATTTTAACCTGTACACAAAGGTTTTTCAAAAGCCTTGGGACACCTTAGGGCCTGATGGCCCTGTATTTTATGTATAGTAAATTATGTACCCTGTAGTCCAAGGTAATCAAGTGCTATCAGCCACTTCACCCATTTGTTGAAAACGCATGTGGCTTCCAAGATGACTAGGTGAATGTTGTGCTGCTGAACATGAAGAAGGCTGGTGGAAATGAGATTGAAGGACAAAGTGGCAGAAGGAAAATAGAAGGAAGAATGAAAGCTAGGGTGTTCAAGAAGGATTCTGACAGTGACACACTGCTAATGTACGATTACAGATTTTGGAGACAAGGCTTACAGAGAACAGCTTGATCAACTTGATATATGTGTAGGGTAGTCAGTGAAAAGAATATAAACAGTGGATTTGATAGATTTAAAGTATCTGAACAATCGGGTTAGGCAAAAAGGCTAACCTCCATTCAGAAGGCTTAGGCAGGTAAAACTTCAAAGTTTATCATCTATTATTCTTTTTGATACGTGTTGCTAGCTTTGCGTTTTAAAGTGCTCAAGAGTAGGGCAGTTTTCGGGACACTTCAGCTTACAGCAAAGCAGAATTTATGTTGGATATCAGAAAGGTGGTACACGGGTGGACAACAAAAGTCTTCCTTGCTAAGATGTTCATGAAGAAACTGTGCCATTGTCAATTAGATATAGAACTCCTCGGAATGCAATAATTTCAGAACTAGATACCTGGAAAACTGAGCTGCATCAGTGAACCTCAGCTCATACAGTTCAGTTCTCATTCCACCCTGCTCCACCAACCTATGGCAAGGCTTCTCCAACCCCCTGCAGATCAACCTGCAAGGGTTCGCCTAAAACTCTTAATTTATAGACAAGCCTTCGAGAATACAATACAGTCAGTAGCTTCACTTGTTCATTGCCAGTGTAGAATTTGTAACACTAAATATTTGTGACACTAAAAAGAACTTCTGGTCCTCTTGTTTTAAAGGAAACAAATCATACTGTATAGACTCATGTCTTAGACGGACATTGGACTCTGGACTGGGCTTTTTTTAAAGTACCAATAGGAGATTGGGAATTCCGTGGTCTACAGAATTGTGGTCTACAAAATTGTGTTCCTTCTCCTAATCCTTCCTCAGGCTTCACATTGACATAACAAGCCTGCAATTACACTAATTAATATAGTTCTACACAGTGTGTACAATTGATACGACGTGCAAAATTTTGTATTGGACTATGTGAACAAAGCTAGTGAGGTATTCAGGGGGTCTGAATTCATGTTCCAGCACAATTAACACACTTTGGGAGCAAATCACAAGGCTTTTGTTCCTAACACCTGGAATAAATCTCTAATGTAACACTCACATATGCATCACACTGATGTCACATTTATTCCCAATTACCAAATCAGTCTGCCAAGTAGGTATGCAACTTCGGATTTTAAACGTTAAGAGCAAACATCAATGAAACATCAACACTTTTTCCCCAATATATACCCTTCTAACTTAGGAAGTCTGCACTCCATAGATACCAATACCCCAGTACATAAAATGTATTTCATATATTACTTTGTATTCTTGCCTGTGTTGACTCACACTTCATCAAATGTATTCGTTTTCAGTTGCCACTGGACTCACTGTTTTTGCTGCCAATAGATTACCTCCCTCCTCTGGAACTGTCCCTAAGAATTGCTCTGTAATTGCTATGGCGCTAAAGAGTAGAGCAGATTTTGTGCATGATTTGTGAGCTAGTTTGGAAGGAAATGAAGGAAAAGCTCCCAGAAGATTGGTGAGCGGAGCACATCTGTTTTTGTGGTTATTTTCTGGTCTCTCCACCCTCCTTCCAGCTAATGCTTAACCAAGAAGTCCAAGAGCTGGAAATCATAGTCTTGGCTCTTATCTTATTTGTGGGGCCTTCTTCCTATGCTAGTGGTTGTAATTAGAACTAAGGAAGTAAGAGGAGGAGGAGACAAATGGGATTTTTTTTCATGCAACATCATGTGTGGGAAGCAGAGAAGAAACCTGCCCTTTCCCACATTCAGCAACAGAGGTGACAGGACCAGGATTTTTTCTTTTAGGGTATCAGTCAGTGATGAGAAGATTTTCACTCCCCTGCTGAATTATCCTTGGTGACCTGTTGTGACTGCTCTCTATTTCTAGGGTGAGCTGTTTGACTGGGTAATATGTTGAATCTGGAAAGCAAAATTCATTTATGTTCATTTCTTAGGAGACAAACAAGGATTCTGACAGTGACACACTGCTAATGATCCAGTGGACCAGACACATGTACGATTACAGATTTTGGAGACAAGGCTTACAGAGAACAGCTTAATCAACTTGATATATGTGTAGGGTGAGCTGTTTGACTGAGTAATATGTTGAATCTGGGAAGCAAAATTCAGTTATGTTCATTTCTTAGGAGACAAAGTATGGCTGTTCATGCGCTGCTGCATATCTGTTGCTCTTAGATGGTTCCTCTGTGCCATAATTCATGGCTATCATCTCCACACATCATGCCCAATCTCCATGGCATGTTTGTACTTCTTTGTTATGTTTAGTGCTGTTTTTGGATAGAGAAATTGTATGACATTTGTGCAGCGCTGTGGCTGAAGGGAGAATCAACCAAGCCTGTGATCCATGATCAGAATCCCATTGGTGTTCCCATAAGGTTTGTGTAAATTGCCTTGGTTAATTGGCAGGGTGCTGGGGCACATTTTGCTTGCATGACTGATTAAGTGTCCAATTGCACAACCAAGATGCACTCTGACACCTTATCAATTAGCCATAATTAGTGCAGCAGGTTACACAAAGATCAATAGGATAATGGTCCACTCACCTGCTTGCAAAGGAAAGAAGAATGAATGGACTCAGTTCAGTGCGAAACATGTTTTTTTCTAGTATAACACCATTGTATGCTATCTATACATAACTGCAATCATTGCACGCAGAACCAGCCATGCTAAAACCAGTACTACAGTGATTGCTATATATCTGATAACACAAAAGTTAATCCAGACTTTTTTTCTTTTATAATAATTCTGTCTAAGCCATCTACAATTTTTATGCTGTTTTCTGTATATTATTAGAGTTCTGAAACTGCTTCCATGTTTCCATATGTTGGGCCAATTCATAATACCAGTGTTAAAGGAAATCTGTATTTAAACATTTTACAAACATTAAAAGTATTACAAAGGGAAATAGTAGCATTATTTAAAATTGCACTTTTACTTGATTTAAGCTTTTTTTAACTGAAATTATTTGATAAAATAGTTCCCTCCAAAAAAAGAGAACTTCCTGAAGGGCAGGGTACATCAGGTGTACCCTGCCCTTCAGAAATCGTTGGAGCGGCTTATGTGAGGAAAAATACAAAACTGGTTGAAATACACATGCAATAATACAAGATATGACAATGGATTACAGCACTCAAAATTTTAAAAAATCAAAATCAAAGTGAAAGCAAGATCCCCTGGTATTGGTTTTAGAATGACTACATGCCTTCACGGAACATCCTCTCGAGAATACTGTTCTATTTTGAATGAAGTCATAGTATATCTAGACACTAAACTCTGTGACTCAGTACTCATACACGATTGCTCCATGTTTTGAC